ATAGAAGGTTTTTATAGTACTCCATGCTGTACCTAGAAAGCTATAGGATTGCTGTGGGACGAGTCAGACTTGCAGTCTTATGTCTGACAGTTGCTAGTCCTGAGGTGCTTGATCTACTTGGCAGGGAGAAAAGCTAGCTCTGATACCACAGGCCGGAAATTAGAGGAATGCCTTTTTCTCTATCCACAAAGAAGAAACATATAAGTAATGTGCTCTAAAGCAGAGATTGCATAAAAAGGGCTGGCCACAGAATAACTTACAACTGATGTCAAGCTGAATATGGAAACAGGTTGCTTTGAAGATGACTGTCAAAGCCCCTGGTTGCAACCCCAGTTGTGGTTAAGACTGAAGAGAAAGAGAAACAGAGAGGGAATATGGGGAGGCCTAGACTGGACAGAGTCATTTGTCAAGAGAATTGAAGCAGAAAAATAATGTGGAGTTCAAAGTCAGTGTCCAGCAAAAAAAAAAAAAAAAAAAAAAGTATATAGCTACAAACACAGCTGAAACAAGTCAGAAGAAAAACTTGGTGGGAAAATGCTTCAGCACAACCCCTGCTGTGTGAACAGCAGCTCTCTCACCTTGCTGAGTTTCTTGCTTGGCTGCAGCAGGGATACCTTGCCAGTGGAGGGAAGCGCTAGGGGAGATAGGCAGGCTTGGGTGGGATGGTGATGAGGAGCCAACAATGCACATGCATGGTTTGATATTCTTGATCTTGGGAAAATCCAGAATGGGTGGGTTCATTCTCCTCTTCAGGAAAACTTCCCCAGATCAACCCACTTTGGATTTTTATTGTCTTTGGGGTGAACCTGGGCTTGGCTGTGGATATTTTTGAGGGCTAGCATGCTGTGACTTTCTCAGCCCACACACGGTACTTCTTATCTTTTTGACTCTAATTCCTAACTTTACAGCCTGAGTCATCTAAAAGCAAATGCCGTTTGTGCTACCTGAAGTTGGCAACACTATTTGCTTAGACACTAGTGTCCAGAAAACAGTGTTTATGCTGGTAAGGATGTTTCTTTTAAAACTCTGTACAAACTAAATGCATATGAAAATACAAAGTGTAGCTGAACCAGGAAAGGGAGTACTCACTGAAGAACTGAATGCTTGCCATGCCCTTGATGAGAAAGTATTAGACAAATTGAGGAAAACATTGAGACGTGCCTTTAGTAGATAAGAAAGCCCTAAACAGAGGTTGAAGGAGCCCTAAATTCATCACAAACAGCACATTTAGAAATGCTCCCCTTACCTGTAGACACAAAGGATGGGAACTGGGTGGGTTCAATCTGTGGACCAAAAGGGGATTAGAGGAACTAACTGGCTTCTCACAAAATACAAAAAGATGGAACCTTCTCCATCTGCATGCTAAAGCATTAAACATGTTAGAGGAGGATTATCCAGAAACCAGCATATGCTGATTCTTTTTTTGTGCTGGATGTGTCGGCAAGGTCTTGGCAGACTGTGGGGAAAAATACACAGTGTCTATAAGATTTCAAGGTTGTCACTGATCAGTGACCTCAGCTGAGGTCTGTTATAGTCATTCAGCAATGACCCCAGCTCTTCTTTCATTTTAGGGATTCCACTAGTTTCATCCATTTACTTGCTTTTCTTCCTTTTTCCTGTTTGTTTGGCCAAACAAAATGCTACTGCCGTGTTCCTTCTCTGGAGTTTCACCAAGAATGGACCTTCTCAGTGGAACTTTGCTAGATATGTTGCAAAGTCATGCAGTGCATTGCCATGGAGGAAATGTCATGTAACAGGATGCTGAGAACCTGACATAAAGGTGAGTCACTTTAAGTAGATTGATTTAGAAGATACGGGTGAAGCTCTGCAAAACCAAGTCCTCCTGGGTGGGTATCACTTGGGTTGGCCAGATTCTTAGTGGATATAAATTGTCATAGTTCCATGTAAATCATCTGGAAAATGATACCACGGTTGGCAAGCTGCTAAGGTAACAAGTATACCACAGGGCAGTGCCAGCTAATGCTGGCTGTGGATCTGCCCATTAGCTATACTGGTAGTATCAGCTTATGTGAACATATTTGTGGCTCTGGTAAACCTGGAAAAAATGACATTTCCATGGGTTTGATGAGAAGTGAAACATTTGATGCTTTGGTCTCAAATTTTCTGCTGTCTTCCACAAGAAACAAAGGGCAAGGTTTTAGGAATGGCCTTCTCCTTTTTCCCCCTTATGGGGCAAACATAGGAAAAAGTGTTATCTATGGAATTTCAGAACTAGTTCTTTAACACAAAACACCAAAACCACCAGAAATAACATTCTCCTGGAAAATGTAAGCTTTAACTTTGCCCTAAGCCAAAATTGCATACTGATTGCTATTCATCATTCTGCTCCCCTCCTATGTACTCTATATGTCTCCAAAAGTCTTACCATGGCAGTCAAGGTTCAAGGAGCAGTTGAATGAAGCCACTCTTTCCAAAACAGGTATTCCCCACTTCTCTATTTAAAAACATCCTTCTCCAGGAGAAACTGGACAGCTGTTCTTTGTTGATATCCAGTCTCCCAGGACCTTCGGCAAACATATTTAGAAACCTGGATATAGTCTAGGATAACATTTCCTTCCAGACTTGTCAGGATATGACAGGTTTTTTCCATGTTACCGGTGCCTGCATGCAACCTGACATCCAGAGCACAACTCCAGAGCCTTAGTGGTGCTTGTTGAACCTGCAGCCCACCATATCTATCCAGCTGCAGGACAACCCACCCAAGGATGATGTTCCAGTACTGGAACTGTGAAAGCTTCTACAGAGCTTGGTGAAATCCAGAATGTTATTAACTGCTTCTCCCTATCCTGGCAGTAGGAAACTTCAAAAGGCAGGTGTGCATTATAGATTTCTCCTCCAGCTTCCACCAGCAGGGCTTTTCTTTTTCCACCTCTCCATTCAACTTTTATAAAATGGGAGCAGGATTATCTGTCTCTCTGAAGAAGATCAGATTAATTAGGCTCTCTTCCCTAATTACTCACCCTGCTGTGAAGGGATTCCTACAGGTGTGATTATAGCGTGAGCATCAAGGAAGGGCCATGCACAGCTTTATAGGTGTGTCCCATAGCATCATTATTTACCCTGGGGAGGTCTGAAAGTAGTTCTTGCTCAAGGCTTGGCCGCAATAAACAGTGTGAGCCTGTGTGCTCTGCATAACAGGACACCACAAAGGGCTGCCAAGGTCCTACTTACTCAGAGTACGTTATCTCAGCACAGCTCTGCACCACTGTACCTCTGTCCTCTGACCCCTACAACATTCACGGGGCACTAGAGACGTTCTGCACTGCACTGGGCTCAGTTGTCCTCTTGGTGTTCAGCACCAACTGAGGACAGATCTATGCATCACTTTGCTTTCCTTTCCCTGTCTCTATTTCCAAGCCAACCAAAACACTCTTTGTGCTGGAGAGCAAGCCACCTATGACATGAGACCCTTATTTTTTAGCTAGAGGTGAACTGAAGACATGAGTCTGCCAGATCATCTGTGGAACATGCTGGTGGCAGATGGTATATAAACATTTGTTTTCTTATTACTCAAGAAGGGAAAGCAGTTGGGAAAGCAAAAGTTTCTTCTTTTTTTTTTTTTTTTTGCAAAAATTTAAGTTAATGAATGGAAAAAATCAACAAACTTCTGAAATTCTTTTAGATAAACAGGATTTTGTCCTCAAAAAAAAAAAAAAAAAAAAAAAAAAAAAAAAAAAAAAAAAAAAAAGAAAAAAGAGGGACTTGGCAGGGTTGAACGCTGCTATTTTTCATTAGGACAAGATGATGGTATGGCAGGAATGCAGGACAGAGGGGTGCAGATGTGTGAAAGCATTTAGGAAAAGGCACCCAGGGATTAGAGAAGTGCCTGTTCCCAAAATGGGTTGATCTGAGGTAAAGGAAACCTTTGGGATAGGAAGATAGTAAACCCCTCCCCCACCCCTTTTATAGTGGATATAAACAGTTTTATGGTATTTCCACCCAACAGAAGAAGAAAAAAAAAAAAAAAAAAAGATTTCTGCAACACACACATGTTCCCCATTAATTAGGACTGCTGTTAACAACACGTTGCGCCAGAGCTGCCAAGAACTGTCAGACGAAGGACAGGGAAGCCCACAGCAGAGGCTCTGCTGCCTCCCGGGGGGGCCAGCCACCCGACCAGCAAGGCAGTCCCAGCCCTTCAGCTGGGTCAGCCCCCCACCGCGGCTCAGTGGCAGGGGGTACGACAGGCAGCCGGGCTGGGGGCAAGGCGAAGTAACCAACTGTGCAGGCAGCCCCTGTTTGAATTCCTCCCCACACACTCCCCTTCAGCTACAGACATTTTCCACAGAAATTCTGGCAGTGTTCGCTTTTGGTTGAGACTTTCAGACTATTTCTGCCGTTTTTAAAACATTCTTAGGGGAGGCGCCTGCTACTTTTATTCACATAGAGGATCCTTATTTTTATGTATTAAGGGATGCGAACAGAGGAAGTGAGGCAGGGGAGGGGAGAGCTGCTTTATGCTTTCATTCAACTATACAACAACAACACAAATCTACATCCAAGCCGCCTTTCCTCCTTAGCAGGCTACAAATACACACTTTGCTGTAGGCTTTACTGTAGCAGAGACCACCCCTAGCATCCTGATTTTCTCCAGCCGTCTCTGGGACAGAGCGCTGACTCCTGGCTTTTAAGCATCTCTCACCTTCTTGCCTCCTGGCAGCTGCGTCAGGGGCTGGGAGTAGTTTTATCCTTCCCCTATCAGATCCTCTCAACTCTCTCCTGATCTACTTTCTTCCTTCAGGGTTCCTGAGTGTTGGTTTGGATTCACCACTGCATATGACTGAGGTTGCACACCGGTGTGCACACAGGACTGACTCACATTAGGATTAAAGCAGGGTCCCTAACCATCTTTTACTATTTAAACAAATGTAGGAAATAATGTTGGAGCAATGCAGCAAAGTTCATTGCAGGATCTTGAAGGAGGGGGAAATGATTATTTTTTTAAAATAAAAATTATTTCCCCACACTTGTATACTCACAGGCAGCATGTCCAAGCAGCCAGGCCATCAGCAGGCATCAAGATGCGTATCTCCAAGTGGCTACTCTAGGATCCCTTGTGAGGACACGAAGGATGAAGACATCAGCTATCCACCAGCATGTCTCCTAGACTCCTCGGAGGTTGGTGATGATCTGCTTGTTTTGGATCTTCCTTTTTGTACTCTGTAGGAGCAGACAGGGATTAGCCTCTCCACCCTGTCCCACCACTGTGAGTCATCTAAACGTACTCACTGTCCTTAGTCTCTCAGTCTGGTTATCCTGACAAGTTGCACTAGATATGCTGAGTTCTTGATGACCTGCTAATCAAGGAGGATTTTTGTAGCCCTTCTGCTGTTTCCTCCACACCAGACACCTGCCTTGGTCTCACTCAGATCAAAGAGCACTTCTGCTACAGGTATCCACAGCAGGAACAGAGAAGGCAAAGTTAAAGACTGCCGTCCTTTCAAATAGCTGCCTCACAGATGCCCATGATGGTGCCCATTTCTGTACAAACTCCAGCCCTCTGACTGTTGGGATGCAGGACTGTGCAGCTGTGTACCCATATTTCACAAACTGGGCAAAAACCCAACTAAATCACAAAAAAACACAATCATTTATGGTAAAAAGTTTGGGACACTGGGACTCTTTGCTATTCTCATTTTTCCTTTCCAATCCTTAAAATGCTGCTGTTGGAACTGCAGCCCTGCAGTTTTGTGAGGCTCTATAGCTACTATGGTGCACATGGTTTTATGCCAAAAAAAGCACTGGTCCATTAACTACATACATTCAACATCATTTCTACAAATATCACGTGAGGAAATCCTCATAGCTGCTGTCCAAAGCACTGGTGACTTGTTCATGAATGGAAAGTCCTCTCAGACATGCAGGAAAACATTCTGGTCTAAAGTTTCAAGAGCAGGTCGTGATTTGAGTGGGTTCCCTCTTACACATCCAAGGTTAGGACATCCAAAGGGCAGTATTTTCAGATTACGCTGAGTGCCTTTCTGCTAACAGTTTTCCTCCCAGGCACCTTGCACTGAGAGTGGAAAAAGCCACCAGAAGCACAAGGACTTCTGAAGTACTAGAGCAGACTGGACATTTTTCTACGGTGTAAGTTAGCAGGAATCATTTAACAGTGTGAATGTAGAACCTCTGGACCTCGTGCACTTTGGGAGAGCTCCTCGGATCACCTGTTCAGATCCCCATGCGATAAGGGGAATGTTCAGACTGAACTCCAAAAGGCCACCACAGTGCTGTTTTGCAGAACACATACTAAGGCTTTTGGTCAAAATACTTCAGTTTGGGAGAGTGTTTTTTTTTAAATATAAAGATGTAGAAAGCTAATTATTTTTCTCTTATATATAGCTAATCCTTTTTTTTTTTTTTGAGAAAGAAAGCAACTTATGTGAAAACTTTCAAATACCTCTTCAAATACCCTTGCTAATGACATTTGAAAATCTAATTTCACATTTGGGACATATTGCAAGAATCAACAATAGTAACAGTTTGATGTCTGTCTTGTTTCAGTCCAGAGGGGTTGGTGGTGGGGGGAGGGAGGTTTGGCAGAAAGTACTATTGTCATGTGGGAGTCTCAGAAATGAGTTGTCTCCTGGCTAATATTCCTCCACTGGAATGGTAAGTCAAATAGGCTAGTAGCCACAGCAACAGCCCAGAATTCTTAACTATCTCTATGGTCATTTCACATCACTTTGGGGCTACCCCAGTTCATACCATTATCACTCAAGACATTATTTCATAGTGATTTCATTAATTAGCGTAATTTGATATATGAATAACACCCACATTTGTTTTAACAGAGGTCACGTTAACTGCACTTCTGCCTGAAAATGTAGATAAGTCAAGCTAAAACAATGTCACAGTTTTAAAATAAACACACAGAAACAGACAACAGTTCATAGGTGCAAAACAACTATGCGATTTCTCTCCTTTTTCTCCCCTACACTACATATCCTCCTAAGGAAGATTTGGGGGAAAAAGTGGGCCTACAGCATCCCTAACCCTACACATCTCTTGTACCCTGCAAGGGAGGCTGCACTGGACAATGGCATGACTTGTGAACAGTCAGTGAGAATATTACCTGACAAAATAAGGAGCACCAGAAGGGATCTGTGGCTCCTTTGTCAGCCTCACTACCCCCTTTAAGAAAGGCGGTAACTTCTTCGAAGAAGTTACAAAACACTACCAGCCCTGAACAAACACTTAGTTTAGGAACCCCTCCCGGTCAGACAATGCAAAGAAAGGACTGAGTTAACCATGCCCAGAGCTGATGGAGTAACTGGACCATGGACAAAGAAAAGACCAAGAGCAAAATGACAAAAAGGGCCCAAGTTTCCAGGACAGCATATTGCAACGGCTGAACACTGAATTGCTGGAGGCCTAGCACTGTCTCGTATATAGTATTGACAGGACAATAAACCCAAAGCTTCTACATGGTATGTCTTGAAGATGTTTCCAATCAGAGTTTTCTTTCCAGTCTAATGGCACTGATGCCCAAGAAAGCCACAACACTCCTGAGCTGGTGTTTTGTGCCAGTGCTGCACAGCTGCTTAAACAACAGGAGACTCCTGGTTTATCTGCTATGCTCATTTGTATTGCCATTTGTCACTTTTTAAAAATGTAGACCAGGTTTCCTGAAGCAAACCTTTGGAGAATCGTGTGTCAAGTTACGTAGTTTGACTAATATCTGGGCCCAAGAAAGTAAAAAAACCCACCCAACAAACCAAAAAAACCAACAATAAACATCAGCAAGTTCAAAAGAGTTCAAAAGACCCATTTTTCAGAGAATTGAATAATGATGTATTCTGCAAAGACAAATCCTTTAAAGCATTTCTGGTTTCAGAAATATTTAAAAAAACCCAGTCTTCTTGGTGCTTTCCAGAGTTATCTGAATTCCTTCAAAAGCCCACTCAAAGTAGAAAAACAATGTTATTCTAATGGAACAAAGCAGTACTTTTTTATTTTACTACAATATTGGAAATACACTTGCAAAAGAAGAGCCAGAAAAACAGAAAGATTCAAGTTTACCTTGTTAATTTTTTGCTTTTTTGTCACCTGGGATTTTTTTCTGCGGTGTTCCTCCTCCAGAGAGGTGCTTCAAAGCAGCTCTCAAACTTCCCCATAGTTTCTCTTCTACTGTAATGAACCACATTTTATACTGCAGCCTTGCTTTATCAGCTTGAGAAATATGCACGGCAGTGATTTTTCTACCTAAGCCCATCATTTCATTTAGGAAGTCACAGAAATTGCAGCTAGCAGCTCTCAATATAAACATCATAACTGCATGCTCTAGAGACCATTTCTCTGTACAAACAATTTCAGTCCAGTTTCAGCTACTGCAGTTTCCTTGATAACAACTTGCTATGTTTACATCCATCTGAAATGTTAAAACTCACTGGGGAACAGTGTGGGTTCTTGGTTATTTATCTGTTCGATCAACCTGAACAACCTACTCGGGATGTTTTCAAAAGTCTGACTTCTAGGCAGCTAGAACAGTGGGGGTTTTGGTATTACTTGTCCTTTTTTCCTCAGCTGCCTAATCTCCCTTCCTGCTCCTTTAGTGAAGATGTTAATTCAGAGCAGAGCTGGCAGCGGTCCCCCTGCCACCCCAGGGGGTTCCTCCTAGCAGTATGCAGGCAGTCATTAGTCTCTGACTATAGTCTGTCAGGCAGTCCAAGCCACTGGTCCCTCGTTCAAGCCAAACAGGGATGTCGCATCCTGCCAAGTCATGCCATAAAGTAACAGTTGAAATAGCTTACGTTTTAAATCCCTAAAGGGCAGCTACCCCATCATGCTGGTGGATTAGAAAACAGACGCTAAAGCGTATGGAGTGGCACTGGGGGCTCTGGCTTACATAGGAGTGAAAGGGTTTAACACCAAACAGCAGAAGAACAAAAGAAGAGTTTGAGCCAGGTTCAGCCTAAGCCATTTTACACACCTAACTGATCTGCCTAATTGAGGATCTTTTCTAAGTAGGAGTTTAATATATCACCTTAGTTATCAGGAGGTGAGACAGCTACAGACAAGGGGCATCTGGATTCTATGGCAGGATGAACCACTTTCTAAAAACACACCTCTCTTTTCAGTGACTATAGGAATCCTTGGGCATTTTGTGGCATGCAGGATGAATGGGTGCTAATTAGAGTACTTTAGGCACTCCAATATTTTGGAAAAAAACGCATTTAGAATGAGGACATGACCATAACCTATGAGTAGAGTCAAAGACATATCCTTCATAAAAGAAATACATGACAATAAGAGGAGCAACAGCAAAAAAAACCCCTCCAATAAAATAGCATTTTTCCCCTCAAACTGAATTTTCCAAAGTCTGTAGGGTTTCAAAAGCTAACTGGATACTTTTGAAAAGGGATTTTTCTGGTAGCAAACTGTTTCTGTAAAAATGTGGACACAGCTCTCCCAGGGATCAGGATGATTCAGTGCTGTTGGAAATATTTAATAGTTATCTGTAGTGAGATGGCAATATTTTGGGTATTTAGACTTCTGACGAGTATGGATCATTACAAATAGCTCATTATGGAGCATATAAAATGAGGTGGTAACTGTATAACTTGACAACAAATTATTTTCACTATACATAAGTGCATGACAGTCTATATTGGAAAATGATAAATTACATCATTCATGTGCCCTGAATTGTCTGACTGTCTCAAGGGGGGTGAAAATCTAGGTTAAATAATGGGCAACTAAACAGAGACATATGTTCAATGTGCACCACAGATCAGAGAGGCAACGAGACACTGGAAATCCAGCAACAATCAATAGCTTTTCTCAAGTGGGAGCTGCCAGTTGAAACTGAGAAATGCAGACACTTCTTTTTCCCTCATAAATCCTCTAAAAGATCCCTCTCTTTCCACTCCACTGAGGTACAAAGTTGGTAGCACCACGGTGCTGGAGGAAGCGTTGCTTTGATTTTCGTGCTACCATGCATGGCACTGGCAGTTCAACCCTGTTCCACACATCCCGTGCTGTGACTCCAGCCATTCATCTGAGGCTGCTCTGCAAACTGCCGGGTACTCACGGGTCAGAAAGCAGGTGTCTGATCTCCTCTGATGAAACCATCCATATCACTTGTGCACGCTACTTGCATTTGTAAGGAAAGGATTTGGAGCTGATCCTTGGAGAAAGGTTTTTTGGTGCCCGTGGAG